TGGCAGCCAGAGGGACCCATCACCTACTCAGACACCCCTACCACACTCAGAACAAGAGCACAGCCCACAGGCCAAGCCCACACACCACACCTCGGATCCCAGATTCACAGCCTCGGAACCGTGCGCAACAGGCGAGTGTCCACCCTGGCTGTGGTGACGTGTTGGCACAGCCGCGCTGCCCGACACGGGCCGGCTCCCCTGCCCTCCCCCTGCTCTGCCATCTATGGCACTTGTTTGCTGTGTGTCTCCCACGCAGGGACGTGAGCTGCCCGCAGGCAGAGGCTGCTGGGAGACTGCTCTGAACCTGCAGGCAGGGCCGGGCGGCACCAGCGAGCACGTCTGACTCAGGTGCTGACCGTGCGGCTGGGTGGCGGGCGGGCGTGCGAGGACAGTCCCCACTCCTGAGAGGCAGGAGCAGCCGTGCTCGTCCTGCTGACCGCGGGGCGGTGCAGACAGGCGCGAGGGGTGGTCGGGGAGGGAGGGGGCTGGGGCTGCATCCCCCGCCCCCTCTGTCGGCCCTGCCTCCCTGGGACTGTCCTTGTCACAGGGTCCCGTGCGGTGGGGGCCAGGCCAGCGAGGGCTGCCTGCTGTTTCCTTTACCTGCTTTTGTCTTTTGTCCCGGCATGGCATGTCTCCCCCCAGGGCGGGAGCTTCTGAGCTGAGGATTAAGTCGTACTCAGGAGGGAGCCCCAGGGCCTCCCAGGATGTTGGCAGAAAGGGCAGCACAAAGTAGGAGGGAGTGGACAGGGTCGGGGCCCCTCAGCCCCGCGCCTCTCTTGGAAGTCAATCCCAGGTGGTAACACAGTGACTGATCCACCACCGGCAACACTGTCTCTGCAGCCCCGGCTTCACATCTGGTCCTAGCATGTCCCCCGCTGCACCTGCCCAGGGTCCTGCTCGGAGGAATAAACGACGGCCCCAACTCCGCTGGCTGCCACGACGACCCCACGCTGCGGCCTCCCAGACGGTGGCCCGCAGCCCACCCTGGCCAGTCGTCAGCGGAGTCCGACCCCTGCACTAATGCGGGGGCTGCAGTGTCCGGCCTGCACCCCGCCCCCATCCTGGAATGGAAATGAGATCTCATCGCCCTGAGGACGGAGCCAGGAGCTTCCCTCAGGCCTCTCCTTGTCCCTTCAGCGCCCGCCCGAGACTCCTCGAGGGAGCCGCGGTCCCACAGGGCAGCTGATAGCCGTGCGCTATGTAAACGCCAACAAGTTAAATCCAATAAAAGCAGAACTTCTGCTGCTCGGTCACACCGCTGAGCAGCCAATCGATCCTGGCCAGCCGGGTCCACACCGCGGCGTCCTCTCGGACCTGTCCCCTGCCTCCCCACCCCCTCCCCACGCCCCCGGCGCCCCTCCCCCCGGCCCGGCTCCTCTGCC